CCCCCGTCCAGGCGGAAGTTGAGCTCACCCAATCACGCTCTGACACCCATGATACCAACGCCCTCAAGCCGTCCACCATGGCGATCTTCGCCACAAGCACCACTCGCCCCACGCCGGAGGAGTGCCAGCGCCTTGGCTCCGCCACGCGCCCGTGCGGCACCCGACCCCGAGCCAGCGACATCGCCAGCATGGCCGCAGCAACCATCTCCATCCCAACTCTGCTCTTGACGGTAAGAACCACCAGCAACAAGCCGACCACAGCAATGCCAAAGTACTTGTATTCCACCCAGGTCAACATGTCCGAGGCAGCAGAAGCGGGTGCTCCAGGCGCTGAATCGCCACGAATCTGAGGTTCGTCATGGGTCGCAACATGGCGAGCTCCGATCCAGCTCGGGGAGGAAGGGCGAGAGAGGCCGTTCGTCATGGCCTCTTCTTCGGGATGATCTCCCTCGGTAGATGCTTCGTCCTGGTTGGGGAGGCGCCGTGACTCCACTTCTGTGCCTTCTGGCCCGTCGTCTTGTCCAGGGCCCTTTTCAGCGGCCGCGTGTGGTGGTAGCACGATCGGTAGGTTCGGGCTGCTTCCGCCGAGAGAGGGGGGGTGGGAGGGTGGTTGGCTTACTGTCGACGGGACCTCGGCTTAGATTGGACCAGAATCGGATTCAGATTTTATTAACACAGCATCAACCAGGAGCAAAGCCTCAGACACGTTTGTTTGCTGCAGGCTGAAAGAAAAATGCCGCCACAGATACTTCCGAGACTATGTATCTAACATCAGGACCACTCCCAGAGTTCAGGTTCCGTGTCACCTGTCGCCGTTGCCATCGACGATCGGGGCGGTCTGTGCGGAAGCGGACGCCAACACGTCACGTTGATCGCTGCCAGGAGACTTCACGACGAGCAAGTCACTGACGTCCTGGCCATCATCCTCGGAGCACAAGGTAGTCGATCCACCGAGCCTGGTTCAAAAGTTCAAACATTGGCGGCAGTCTGGGTAAGAATCAATGTTGCCTGAGGCAGACGACTTCTTCTCAGACGCCTTCAAGTGGAATTTGTGCCTGAGCTCCATGTTGACCAGACCGGACAAAAGAATAGGACACGTAGGGCTCCGATGCTCAACTCCAACAGACGCCTGGATGAGTGTATCATTACTCATACCGACTGAAAGCTCACCCCGTCTTGATTAAACTGGTCCGTATTGGGGGGAAAACACTCACTTACCCGGGAAGGGCAGGGGGGGAAGACTCGTTGGATTCTTCCCTTCACTGCCGGACCATTGCCATCGCATGCGGTTCTATCCCCAGTTGAGAAATCACCATCAGCCGAACTCTCCACACCTTTTACAGCCAAACAAAAACACATGTATTTTCTTGTCCCTTTCCTTGGTGGTTTAGTATGGCCATATGTTTGAGCTTCGAGGCACATGCGGTCGTTCCCGTTGTATCCTTCTCTGTGCATACCAACAGGGGTTGGGGCTGGGATCAACGTGCAGAGAGGGAACGGAAAGCTGATCCACACGCCAAAGGCCATCAATACTTTGTACTGAGATTCCGATCACGTCTGTAGTCCTGAACTGTCAAGGTTGTCGATGTTCGGGAGGTTGGGTGACTGATACAGCATTTTCGCCTGCTGCTTCGGTATTTAGAGTCGGTCGGAGGCGCAGCACAGAA